ACACAGATACACAGAGACACCGAGACGAGGAGACAAAGAGATGAAGAGACACAGAAACACAGATACACAGAGACACCGAGACGAGGAGACAAAGAGATGAAGAGACACAGAAACACAGATACACAGAGACACCGAGACGAGGAGACAAAGAGATGAAGAGATGCAGAAACACAGAGAAACAGAGACAACGAGATGCAGAGACACAAAGACACAGAGACAGAGAGACGCAGAGACGAAGAGAGGCAGAGACACAGATGAAAAGACGCAGAGAAACAGAGATGTAGAGAAGAAGAGACACAGAGATGTAGAGGCAAAGAGACACAGAGACACTGAGACACAGGGATGCAGAGACACAGAGATGAAGAGATGCAGAGACACAGAGGTGCAGAGACGAAGAGACGGAAAGACATAGAGACACAGATGAAAAGACGCAGAGAAACAGATATTTAGAGACCCAGAGACATTGAGATGAAGAGACGCAGAGACACAGAGGTATAGAGGCAAAGAGACGCAGAGACACTGAGACACAAAGATGAAGAGATGCAGAGACAGAGACGAAGAGAGAAAGAGATGAAAGGGACACATAGACGAAGAGACGAAAAGACATGGAGACACAGAGACGAAGAGACGCAGAGACAGAGAGACAAAGACATGCAAAGACAAAGATATGAAGAGGCACAGAGACACAGAGATGATGAGGAAGATACATAGAGACACAGATGAAGAGACACAGAAAAACAGAGATGTAGTGAAGAAGAGACACAGAGACAGGGAGACGAAGAGATGAAAAGACGCAGAGACACAGAAATGTAAAGAAGACACACAGAGACTCAGAGACCCAGAGACATTGAGATGGAGACGCAGAGACAAAGAGACAGAGACACAGAGATATAGAAACAAAGAGACACTGAGACACAGATGCAGAGACAAAGAGACAGAGACACAGAGACGCAGAGAGAAAGAAATGAAAGAGACACAGAGACGAAGAGACGAAAAGACATGGAGACACAGAGAAAGGTGCTTCAGCAGCTTCTGTTTTAAGCACGCCGCCGCCCGTCTCTAACAGCGTGAGGCTCATTCTTTCATCTGACTCAAGATTAAAACCCATCTCTGATCAAACAACCTCAAACTCATTTAATCAAAATCCCATAAATGAATTTAGACTCCATAAATAAATCATTTGTTCTCATTTCAAACAAGAGCACCTCTAAAACGCTTCACACTTTCAACAATCCAACCCTGACCCTGTGACACTTTATTACACACACCGCTTCACTCATCCTGTCAGCCAATCAGGAGGAAGCATTTATTCATCTATTGTTGGTACCAAACAGGCTGACTCACCAGGATTTGGACCCACAACCATCTCACATTAAAGTGTCCTGATGAAGATGAAATCGGCAGTGAGCAGCAGCCGTGGCCGACCCTTACCTGAGAATGAGTCTACCTGATTTTAAACACAGTCAATTCCACCGAGGCCCCGCCTCCTTTAAAATGTCGGACACTAAAACAGTTTAGCTGATGTTATTTTTAGTGGATAAAACAAGGTTATGAATTTAAACGAGTGACATCACTGGGTGGACGGGGAGCCAATAGTCTCTGATTTCCTTTTGGCTCATGAAAACAGCTCCTACTGAGCTGCTCAGAATAAAGACTGAGTTTGTTTTTATAGCATGATGAGTGGGTGGGGGTTAGCAGACGTTTGGTGTTTAAGGACACAGTAGGACTGATGAAAAGAGCCGTGAGCACTGAGGGCTCTGAGCTCAGAGCATAAATAAAGACTAGAATATTGTAATTATTACAACAGAATTAGTCTACTTTGTGTGAGTGGCGGTCATTATGCCAGCGTTTTTAGACTGATCCCAGAGTTGAAGCTCAGCTCTGACACAGAGAAACCTGCTGTTAGTTTCAGAAACATCTAAAACCATTTAAACCTAATTTAGACTAAATCCTCTGGTTTGGCTCCACATGAACTGATCCAAGCAGCCCAACCCATTCGCTATGCTACCCCCCTCCAAACTGATCAGGCCCCTGCAGGGACGTAGGCCTGCCTTGCATGTGAGGGCGACCCCCCCACCCCGCCCCATATGTCACCCCTGAGAGGCTTAAGACCGCCACATCAATGCAGACATTAGAATGAGAGCAGGATTAGTGCCGGCTAGACCGGCTCTCTATGAACAGCAGCGAAAAGCCACCTAAGCCCAGAAGGTGGCAGATCGAAAGTCAATAGAATCTAGTCGACTCGCTCCAGCGCGAGTGCACAGAGGTCACTGAGGCCTGCAGGATTTCAGAAGACAAAGCTGTCACCTGAATGTTTCAGAGCAGCAAACAGACAACAGCCTGAGTAAATAATTAGGGAACACAGCTACTGAAGCCACCCTGGTCTCATTAGAGGAAGTTATCGCCCCGTCCTTAACTCATGAATTAACTGATTAAACATTAGGGATGAGCCGGATACTGGTTTCAGACGAGTATCCGGTACGGATAAAGCATTTTTGACGAGTACGAGCATGAGACGAGTAAAATTCATAAATATCTGTAATCGTGCTGAAGGAGAATCCTCATTGGGTAACTGACTGTCTTCACGCTCTGTGATTGGCCAGTCACATAGAGGACCCGCCCCTCCCTACACACAACACTGCAGCCGGGAGCTCACAGCTCAGTCCGCGTCCGGTCCATCCACGCACACACACACACACACACACACCACACACACACACACACACACACACACACACGCACGCTCGCACGCACGCACGCACGCACAGTAACGGATCTCTCTGTGCTTGCTTCACTGTTCACGTTTCTTCAGTACTCCCTAGGTTTTCTTCAGTTTGCTTCTTTTTAAAGTTACTTTAAAGTTATTTAAAGTTACTTTTTTTGTAACGTGCGTGGTGCATTTGACAAGACAGAGCTGAAAACGGCTCGTGCTGCGTCAGTCACTGCCTCCGCTCCGGTCGGGGTTTTTCTTTTCCTCTCTCTCTCTCTCTCTCTCTCTCTCTCTCTCTCTCTCTCTCTCTCTCTCTCTCTCTCTCTCTCTCTCTCTCTCTCTCTCTCTCTCTCTCTCTCTCTCTCTCTCTCTCTCTCTCTCTCTCTCTCTCTCTCTCTCTCTCTCTCTCTCTCTCCTCTTCCTCAGGATCCACTCCCTCTTTCCAATTCACTCTCTCTCTTTCTTTACATTTTTTAATCACAATTGTCCATTTTTTGCTCATTTTAAATATATTTTAATCATTTTCTAAATTCTTTTTTCTATTTTCCATGTTTTGTTTTTGTGAAGCGCCCCGTGATTTTTATCTTGAGAGGCGCTATAGAAAAGATCTTTTCTTCTCTCTCTCTCTCTTAATTCATGCTCTTAAATATTAATGTTCTGATTTTATTGAAAAACTTGTTCTGTAATAGTTCCTTTACTATTGTGATCAAAAACATTTAATCTCAACTCTGAGGCTGCTCTGTAAATAGTTTTCAAATAAATAATACACATAGCAACTTCTGATCAGACTTAAAATAACGTATTGATGTAAACCACGCCCACTTCCGGTTTAACCACACCCACTTCCGGGTTAGGCCACACCTACTCTGAGTACAGATACAGATACAGGTGTACTCGCTCATCCCTATCAAACACATTATTTATTTATTTATTTATTTATAAAGGGCGATCCCAGATCACTCCCACATCTGTAGAATAAAGACAGCATGAAGTAGCGACAAGCAACACATCAAGACTCGTCTTCAAAGGATTCAAGAAGAAAAGAACGCAGAAGAACATCTAAAGAACTTAAGGGGTTTGAATGAAGGCGACTAAAAAAGTCTTTGATTTCTTGAAGACGTTTCAAGATATCTAGTTGCCTTCATTCAAACCCCTTTGGATTAGCGTGACCTGGATGACTGAGAACCTTCACCAGCATCTTCAGTCCTCATGAGAACATGGGAGAGTCCCAAGGCCCAAACTGCAACGACGGGGCCGTCTTACATTCATCTGAGCTACATCAGTTATCGTTATCAAGACTGGGACAGTCTGAAGAATCTCAGGACTGATTCATTTGGAAGGTGTGTGTCCCGTTTCATCAGGACAAAGGCTGACGAGAAAACAGCAGTCAGACATGGCGGTGGTCTGAAATGAGACAGTTCTGTAAAAAAGCACGAGACAGAGCTCCTCCAGTGACGAGAGACTCTTATCACAAACCCCACGGCTGCTGCAGTAGGGTTAGGGTTGTTCCTGTCTTAAAAAAATCACTATTTAAAACTAGTATTTTGTGTTTAATCGGGTTATTTTTGTCTGATATTTAAGGACAAAAACCCTGAAAAAGGAAGAATCTGTGAGGACTTTTTCCTCTGCTCTGCTTTCTGATTTATATTCTATTTGACTTCCTGTTTTGCTGATTAAAGATCCCAAACAAGCGAGTTGTAAAGCAGACACAATCTCAACACCCACACATGAATGAGGAGTAACAGCAAAACAAATGCTAAGAAGGGCTTCTTCCCGCTGCCATTTTACAGTCGTCTACTCCAAATACCAAAGCCTCAATCACTGTTTCCTGAAGGAGCGAAGAAAAAAGAGAGAAGTCAATTCTTCACAGCTCCTCAGAAGTAGGCCAAGGATAGTCCCCGCGGGGGTCGGGGGGGGGGGGGGCGGGGTCTCCATATGTGTGAGCCGTGGGTGTGATTGGCTGTGTGCACGGTGGCATCACGTTTGATGATTACACACCAAAACTGGTGCACATCAAAGGGACTTTGTTGTGAAGTGCAGGTGGCGTAAAACGTAATTCACTTCAAATCTGTCCAGCGATACAGAAACGCTCCTGCTGGGTTTAATCTCTAAAGCCTCTACGGCGTAAGTGAGATCAGAGAGAATCTGTTAAAACACCTCACAGGTGGGGCTGATCTCTCCATCTGCAGATGTCGTGTTCCTCTTGACATCTTCTCTGTTCTAACGTCCTCCTGACAGCAAAACAACCCAACGTCCCGTTGATGTTCCTAAGCAGAGACAGAATCCTCACCAGACGCACAGTCCTCCTCGTCCGCTCCGTTCTCACAGTCTTTCTCCCCGTCGCATCGCCATGACAACGAGACACACTTGTTGGTGGATCCCCCGCAGTCAAATTTCTCTGGAGGGCACGTCTGTTTGCCTGTGGACGGAGATCAGACAGACACGAAGATTACTGCAGTGAATTTATGCCGAACCACCAACGAGCCACCGGGCTGGACCTCGATGGCCCCCGTGATGCAGTTAAGACCCACCCTAAGCCCCAGCAGTCTGGGCCACCTCTGCTGCAGAGAGAGCTGCAGAAGGATCCTGAAACACACAGCTAATACCCCCCTTCACACACACACACACACACGCACGCATACACACACACACACGCACGCACACACACATGCACGCACGCACACACACACACACACACACACACACACACACACACACACGCACGCACGCACGCATGCACACACACACACACACACGCACACACACACACACACACGCACACACACACACACACACGCACGCACACACACATGCACGCACACACACATGCACGCACGCACACACACACACACACACACACACACACGCACACACACACACACACACACACACGCACGCACACACACACACACACGCACGCACGCACACACACACAAGAGCACACACGCACGCGCGCACACACACATACACACACACGCACATGCACGCACGCACACACACACAGACGCATGCACAAACATATACACACACACGCACGCACACACACGCACGCGCATGCATGCACGCACACACGCATGCACACACATATACACACACACGCATGCATGCATGCACACACACACATACACACGCGCACGCACGCACGTACACACACACACACATACACACACGCATTCACGCACGCACGCACACACACACGCGCATGCACGCACACACACACACACGAGAGCACACACGCACACACGCACGCGCACACACACACACATACACACACATGCACGCACACACACGCACGCACGCGCATGCATGCACGCACGCGCATGCATGCACGCACACGTGCATGCACGCACACACGCATGCACACATATACACACACGCATGCACGCACGCATGCATGCACGCACACACACACACACATATACACACACGCACATGCACGCACGCACGCGCATGCATGCACGCACACACGCATGCACACACATATACACACACACGCATGCATGCACGCACACACACACGCACACACACACATACACACGCGCACGCACGCACGTACACACACACACACACACGCATTCACGCACGCACGCACACACACATACACGGGCATGCACGCACACACACACACACACGTACACGCGCTCGCACGCATGCACACACGCACACACGCACGCACACACATACACACACGCACACACACACGCGTGCACATGCACGCACGCACACACACACACGCGCGCGCACGCAAACACACAGATTGGTCCTATGTTCTGACGTCTCTAGGATGCATGTTGTTAATTATAATTCTCTGCTCACTGCCTAACTTCCAGGTTGAAACCAAGGGTTCAACCTGCAGTACAGATCAGTCATGTGTTGTTTCTCTCAGCTAATTGCAGGTAACAATATTTTTAACATTTAAAAGGTAGAATCTAGGATCAGCTGTTTTCTGCTCCGTTAGGTAGCAGCGCCACACTAAACGGTGGCTGGATCATTTGTTGTGTGAAGAGCTCCATAATGAAAACAATATGAGCTCTAATAGAACATCTGATGCTGTCGGCAGCAATATCATCTGTGATCTGTTACCAGGATATTGGACCAGAGAGGAGGACTGTCTCTGAGGCTGATTTGCAAAAACATCTGTTCATGTCGTCACAACCATGAATTCAGTCTGAATTCTGATGCATCTGATGGAAACGTTGAATAAGAAGAATCAGGCGCTTAAAGACAAAGTTCACTCTTTTTTTCAACACATCTGCATTGATCTCTAGGATAATTAAAAACATTTGAGTCGATCTCTGCGGCGAAAACATCTCTGGCACGTCTAGAAGTGAGTCAGAGCAGAGGTGAGCAGACAACGGCAGGATGTGGGGTCTTATTTCCTTATTGTCAGACATCTCTCCTCTGATTGGCTAACAGCAACGTGACTCTACCACTGACTCTGCTTACTCTGCAGCATTGATGTTTTGTCTTCACAAATGAAAAATGCCTGGAGGAGTTCGCTGTGTGGTACAGTTGCTAATGCTAACAAGTCTTTTTTCATGTCTGACTTTAACCGCATCTAATACTGTATTACGGCGTGAGCGCAACAGCGACAACTTAAGATCGATGTGTGAGCAGCCTGAGAGGTCGGGTGTTTTCATCTGAGCCCTTAAAACTCCAGCAGGCTACGCTGCACTATTGACGTGTTAGCGCGCGGCGCTAACAACTTAGCGACGTGACATGTCTCGGAGAAAGCGTAAAAACACGTTGGACGCTTCTTCTGAAGCGGAAAAATAACACCTCTTCTTAAGCAGAGCACGACGTCGCCTCGACTGGGCTCGATAACATTGGCCCAGCACAGCCATTGGGTCGTTGGAGCTGCCCCGTGACTGCCTGATGGAAAACCAGCGGGTTTCATCAGACTCGTAGTTTCTTGTTTTTGCTGGGGACCCCCTGTATTTTACCGCTCCCTCCTGCAGTCTTCCCCATTAGCATATAAAATGATTCTGTAAATTCGTGTATCAACAGAAAAAATCTCTGCCTCTGCCAGCTGCAGTAAATGTAGTCTCCAAATAATAAATAAGAGGTGCATTCATCTGTGTATCTCCTTTGATCCGCATTAGTGATATTCAGCACCAGAACAGTGAAGCAAAGAAACAGATTCCTGAGTTTGTTAGTAATTTTATTTATTAGGTGCATCTGACCTGTTCTATATTTCTCTGAAATGAGATCAAATCAGTGCTTCTATGGGTTGTGTCCTCTCTGCACTAGAAATTTTTATTTTATTTAGAGACGTGTCATAATTTCTCCCCAAGCTAACGTTATCTTAAACATTTTATTTACCTACCGGAGCAGATTAAGAAGAGGATGTCTCACTTAGATCGTTGTCGCTGGTTTCATCATCACCCAGTTACCCGTCACATTTAGTGACGTGGACCCAAGCTTTAGCGTGCGTTCTTTCTACCATGCTGTTCTGTTTACAACTGGCTCGCAGCGACCGACGACATAACGCTCTTGAGCATGCGCAGCTGTCTAGGCAAGTTCTTGTTGTGAAGGACGGGTACCGAAACGAGGCACCGTTTCAAATGAAGTGAATCGGTGCTCGGTCGGTACTATGGAATTTGGCCGTTACCTTAAAAAGTACCGAATTCAGTACCCATCCCTAACCGCCACAGCTGGAAAAATTCCTAAGGGAAACACTGGAATGGATCTGAGCCTTCTGCCAGATTGGAGCGAGTCGAAGAGACTGTGTCCAGGGTGAGACGAGTCAGCTATTATCCGACCTGCACGCCTCAATGTCCTAGAGGTGTACAGATCCTGAATGCAGGGGAGTTTGCAGCCAATGACCTTCTCTGCAGAGCGCACGACACACTGCCGCCTCTTCTTGTCCCTGGTGGTAGCTCCAGCGTACCACACGGTGATGGAGGAGGTGAGGATGGACTCGATGATAGCGGTGTAGAACTGCCTCATCGACTGTGCTGATAGGTTGAAATTCTTCAGCTGCCTCAGGAAGTACACCCTCTGCTGGGCCTTTTTTCTGATGGTGGTGATGGTGGGCTCCCATTTGAGAACCACTTGCCCCATATAAACACTGTGGGGCTCATTGTGTGATTCTGATCACACAGCATGCCCGCTCAGCCTCCTCTGTTGTCCGTGACACTTTGCAGTGGGTTCATGAGTTGGGAGTTCTGTTTGACCAGTCAATGAAAATGAAGTCCATTTTCCAGGATATTGTAAAACTAGATAGCAATCCAGTCCAAACGGGGCGACGGTGGCACAGGAGTTAAGTGCTCGCCGGAAGGTTGCAGGTTCGAGCCCCGCTCAGTCTGTCGCTGTCGTTGTGTCCTCGGGCAAGACACTTAACCCACGTTGCCTGCAGGTGGTGGTCGGAGGGACCGGTGGCGTCTGTGCTCGGCAGCCTCGCCTCTGTCAGTGCACACCAGGGCAGCTGTGGCTACATCGTAGCTCATCCCCACCGGGGTGTGAATGTGTGTGTGAATGTGTGAATGATTGATTGTGATGTAAAGCGCCTGGGGGGGGGGGGGGGGGGGGGGGGGGGGGTTCAGGACTCTAGAAGGCGCTATATCAAATACAGGCCATTTACCATCTATCAAGACCCTTGTGTCCCGCAAGGCGCACTGTACGCACAGGTGCCATTCGTTCGCTGCTGAACCAGTATCAGTCTGTATTGTTTGCTTTAGAGGAAATGGTTTTCTGGTTGGTCAGACTCAGCCAGCATGTTCAAATGGCTTGCTTAGTAGATCACAAAAGTTCAATGCAGTTCTAGGTCTTCTTCTTGCTTTGGAGGTCATCCATCCTTCCATGAACAAATGAACACCCTAACCCTAACCCATTTGTTCTGGCGTTGAACTTTAAAATTTTATCCCAACAGTAGTAAAAGTAGGCCAGTGTGTAATTAAAGACAATCCTTCATTCAGTCCTTCTGTGGGGTGTTTCTGTCCTGGCAGCACTCAGAGTGTGACAGAAGAAACGCAGGGTGAGGAAGTGGGAGAGACAGCTGGCGCCGGGGGACATCCAGCTGCAAAGATGGCTGATGCAGCCGGGCCGCGACCTCGCAGAAAAAGAGCCTCTGCAGCAGCAACACTCTCTGTTTCCACAACAACAAACACCCAAGACTCCGCTTCTACTTTCTGTCTGCTGAGGAGTGACTTTTGCCTCGTGCACGGAGGGTTCTGGGCTGAAAACTCCAGCAAGTAAATGTCAGACAGGCAGGATTAAATGTGAACAGAGATCAAACTGCTTCACCAGAAGTGTGAGGCAGTGGTGTGGTGCACAGCGCCTCCTCACTGAGGAGGAGTGGTCGCACAGGTCGGAATGAACAAACAAAAAAAGATGTTTCATTTGTTTTTTGTGTAGTTGCATCTGTTCTACTTTTACTCTGGTTGTGTGTATCACTCTAACTCTGTTCTGCACGCAGGC